TTTTCTTATTATTACTTAGTATAATAATTGGTACATTTGTTCTTGCGCATCAAACAAGGTATCCCCGTTGTTTTTTATGCCTTGGTTTGTATATAATATTGCTGTAACTATATCAGTGCTCAATATGGTCCTCAAGTCAGTCCTACACATTTTTAAACTACTAAATACTTTTTTTTTTTAATTGGGAAACTTATATGAACCTGAAGAATCAAAAACTTTTTTCCTATAATTTTCTGGATCTAATGAAGGATCAATATGAATATCCTTATGATAGAACAACGGGTGTTTTCTCCATTCGTTACCGAGATTTTGCAAGTTCAAACTACAAAAGTTGAAAATATAACGATGGAATGAAAAAAATTATCGTTAACATTTTGAATATTTAGCAGCAAATGCAGATGTGCTTAAGAGAGAAAAGCACCACACAAGCTTCTTGACAAACCAAGCGAAACATCCCTTTCCTTAAAGCTATTTATGTTGTGTAGGGGGGTGTTTGAAGGTTTGACAAGCCGTTTGAGGGAAATGTGAACAAAAATCAAAATGTTTTGATTTTCTTGCCGCCATGTCGATGAAAACCAAACCCTTTTACATTGTGAACCGGAAGAAAACTAAAATTCTTTGCTTGAACGAGTCATGTTTGTATGGTGTATGGCGAAATGGGAAAAGTAGGTTTGAAGAATGTTTGACAAGCCGCTTGTGTAGTGTATTTCGCTCTTTATAAAACTTCGGAAAGCTTTTTGTTCGAAAATTTGCTGTGATTTAACAAATCTGTTGCGTAAAACATGGTTGCACTTATTATCTGCAAATATATCGAGAGAAAATTCCTCAAAAATTCCTCAAAACAAAAATCTTCAAAAAATACTCAAGCGCACCCGAAATTCCTCACGTTTTGAGGAATTACTCATAAAGTGGCAACACTGTATAAAAGATAGTGGGGAAGTTAAGGTTGGTTTTCACTATGTCAAATTCAATGGCCTTTGTCATCAAATAGGTAAAAAGACATTGTCGAATGGAACTTAAAAACTAGCTCAGAATAGGTCTTCAGTCGTGAACTTGTGCCGCTAAATTGGATATCTGTCCGTTTTTGGCCAATAATATAATCGGTATGCACCAGAAATCAACATAAAAATCTACAAAAGCACACCGAGCTGCACGCAAATTGCTTTTATTTTCATAAAACATCTAACAATGTTTCCAAAAATTTTCCTTCAAATAAACATAAAGCTCTACCCAGAATTACAGCGGACGACGGTAAAGCGGTCGGCGATAAGTGAAGAGCTGTTCAGTTACCGCAGTGAAATCCGTCCGAGTAAGCACAATTGCGGTTGACGACTGCTTCCGTTGATTTGAAATTTTTATTAAAATATTTTTATTTGTTTGATACGTTATTTTCTGGAAATAAAAATGGTTGAAAGCATTTGCAAACTTGTACAAATAATAGAAATTATTACAATCAACAATGTGCCGCCCCCGCTAGGCGGTAAAAATAGAAATAAATTTAAATCAACCGAAAAACGTTGGCGGTAAAAATGCTGCCGCCGTAGTTACATATGTGCTAATCCATATGTCTTCGTGAGTTTTTATTTTGACAGCGGTTAACCATCGACCGCTCTACCGTCGTCCGCTGCAATTCTGGGTAGAGCTTAATAGAATGTCCTTCCAAAAGAGATTTTTATATTTCACTTTAAAACAAATTTAATGAGTTTTATTAATGCAAATGAACAAAATTATTAAAAATTTTAATGCATCAAAATTTTTTCATTAGCATTAGTTTCGATAATTCAATGGAAACAATTTTCATTAGCATTTTTTCAGAATTAATGCATTGAAATTTGTATTTGCATTAAATTTCAAAAATTAATGCATTAATTTTTTCCATTAACATTATTGCTTTAAGTACCATTAATGCATTAATTACATCTCTGATATACATTAGACTGATTAAAAAAAATCGATTAACTTTTTTTAATAGCCCCCTCTTCAATACCTCCGGGGGGATGTCAAAAGATGCCTGTTAAAAGCGCAACCCTTAATATTAAGTTTAAAAGGTGGCGTATCGCAGCTTTCTATTTTCCATATAAATTACTTAGAAAATAATTGTTTTTGTCTTTGGAATTTGTTTTCTCGGCTATAAATTATCAAGATAACATATGCGATACATATTTTTGTAGGAAATTAGACGTTCCACAAGAACGTCTCTTATCATGTTTTGATAAACCTATTGGTTTAACGGTTATTCAAACTTAAAGTTAAATTTATGTCATTATTACAGTTTTTACAGTAATTAAAATTGTTTCAACTATCCAAAAAAGAAGTCTTTTAAAAATTGAAATTGTAAAGTTTAATAAGTCTTCCAAATTAATTTTACTAAAAACCCCCCATTTCGGGGAAATCTTAATTAAAATCCTTTCTATTATATTGAGTTATGTTCGAAAGTTCGTTTTATCATTTTTCCACTAAAAATGATTTTAATATATTTTTCTAACAGGGAATTATAACTTTAGGGATTTTTGTAACAAATTTTGCAATACTTAATGATAACACTCGATCACAAATTTAACAGCCTTATGTTTTATAACGAACGAAAGGCAATACGATCAATTCGTCTGCAGAGGAACGCTTCAAAAATTAGTTCGGCGGCATCATTCTAGCCGGTTTAACCGGTGAAAACAATTTTTTTCTAAGTAATTTATGTGGAAAATGGAAATCCGCGATGCGTGACCTTTTAAACTTAATATTTATGGTTGCGCTTTTAACAGGCATCTTTTGACATCCCCCGTAGGTATTGAAGAGGGGGCTATTAAAAAAAAACTTAGTCGATTTTTTTGAATCAGTCATATGGTATGTATACTAATGTAACCATATTGTTAGGGGCATACAGTTGTGGCATGCTATTCCGGTTTGTATAAAATTTTAGTCTATTGATATAAACTACTATATTGCATTTTTATTATCTCAGTTTTTGAATTGTGAATGATAACCACTTTTTTAAATAAATTTAAATAGTAGAAAGTTGTATATATTTAGTTGTTTCAATTGGTTGCATAAACTTGGGATGCTCAGCAGTGGTGCACGCAGTCAACATAGGCACCTGCGGGCTCGCGAAATTACTAGGCGAGGGGAAGTGAGCGGTAAGAATATCCTGTCGATAATTAAAACCACAAAAAAGTTAAGGACCAGAAAATTTGCCATCACTTGGAAAAACAGGAAGATGATT